GATCTTACCGAGACAGATTCTAGTAAATAATACGAATTGTTTTCTGCAAGATTTATAGCGTTTTATAAAAACGTTTACAAGACTTAAAAAAGAATACTTAGAAGACAACTTGGAATTTTTTCACATGTATAATACTTTGAACTTGATACTGTTTATAAATTACTAGCCCTCGCCCGAGACTCCGTCCGCGTGCAATTAAAAAAAAAACAAAGTAGCCTATGTGTTCTTCCAGACTATGCTTTACATCTATGTCAAATTATAGTCGAGATTCGATCAGCAGTTTAGGCTACAAACTCTTACAAACATCCATCCATGCAAGAACATTCGGGCACTGACTGAGGTTACGGGATGTAATGTCACATGTTACGTGGTAAGCGGTACGCATTACGGGGAAGCAACGAGCCTCTTAATGCGAATGTTACACCCTAACAACAAATAGTACTCACCTTAATGTAATTTAATTTACAAAACCTTTCGTAACAATAATGTTAAATATTCATTGAATTCGATTCTTAGCTGTGAGAGTAATTTAAATTCTTTAAAACTTTATTAAAAAGGAAAGGAACCAATAGTTCAGCGGACGCACACCTTAGACTTAACTGTGCAGAAATGTTGTGCGATTGTCGATTATTTCGCAACAAATCCAACTGTTTAGTTGTACAACTAAAAGTCGAGTAGTGTGCGCACCATATAAGCTCATAGTAATCAAAGCGAGACTAAACGGTTGTGCGACAGTTTAGTCAAACGTGTGCGCTGTTAAAGTTTAATTTCCTTTAAGCTGTGACAATGGAATCCGGTTGTTTGTTTTATTAAAACATGTGATATCTTTATTGATTGTGTTACTAATAAGGCAATAATGATGAGTAACTGCATCTCAATGGGTCAGTGGTGCGAAGGTCAAATACAGTGGGCGCAGACCTCAATTGAGAACACGGACATATTTCGTATGTGCAGTTGTGTTCGGGTAACCTTAACCTTGTGAATTAATCTTTTAATAAACGGCTTTTGTTTTTGAGTAATTTATTGCAGAATTTCAATTTTGTGTTACGTTACCGAAGATTATTGTGGCCTTTGTGAGGATTAAAAATTAATCATACTTTGTATGACATTGATTAGTTTATTGTGCCTTTTAAGAAATATACCTTTTTAAGGTTTTTGTGTTAATGCTGTGTTTGCTAATTCGTTGTTGAAAAAAATACGTTTTAATTCTACATATGTTGTAAAATAAGGTTTTAGTCAAACGAAATCTATTTTCCAGATTTATTGTACCTAGTAACCATAAATTAAAAATGTACAAATTGTAGCTTTAAGTCAGTATAATAACAATTGTAATTGTTCAATCTTGGTTTTCAGTATTACTAAAATTTCTTAAGTTTATTAAAGTTCTTTTCTTATATTAAATTACCTGCAAATACAGTGACCGGCGGTCAACAACCACCTATCGTTGATAACCGTCGCCCCGCACTGGTGCGTGCCCTGCCGCCACACACTAGCCGCCCAGGGTATCTCCCCTGGCAGGCTCTCCGTGCCACCCACGATGCGGCCCCGACGGGCACTTTGGACTCCACATTCTATGTCAGCAACTAAACAAAATTATGTCAAAATTGTTAATGGCTCACGGATTTTTATAACAGAAGTAAACGAATGGGTATACCGAGGAGATCAACGACGCCCGTGAATTGAATACCTGAACGAATTGTTGGCTGGATTTTTGACGGGTCCTAACAGCACAGTTATGACTAGACTATCGCATAACTGTTTAGTCGCGCTTTGATTCCTATGAGCTAATATGGAAGTGCACACGCTACTCGATTTTTAGCTGTACAAATCAGTTGAATTGGCTGCGAAACTATTAACAAACGACAATAGTAGTTGTGCGATAGTTTTGTAAAAAGTGTGCGAACGCTCTAAGTCTTTAGTATGAAAACACCGACGAAGACAGACTTCCAATAAGATATGCAGAATTACTAATAACTACTTTATTTATTTCATACACAAATTTTGTGTAAGATTTCATACAAAACTCTGTTGAAAACATCGAAGAATTTTAATCTGACCTCTGACCGTTCGGTTATTTAGCAATTACAAGGATTTGTTCACAAAAATAACTACATTTAAATTTCAATAACGTTTTCACTTTTGATAACTTTGACGTTTTTTTATACTTGTCTAATAATGGAAAGAAATCGAAAGTATTTGTACAAAATGTAAAGAAAATATTGTTTCAGTTTAATTTGAACTTTATGTACACAAACATGTATGGTTTTTTAGATTTGGTCTAACAGAAGTGTTTATCGAAATGTTTTATTATTTAGGACAAATTAAAAAAGAAGCTGGATGTGTTTGTCCATACTTTTCATCTACATTTATGCAAAATTTTACCGACTTTATTTTTACGACATTTTTGCGACTTTAGAGTTAGCTTCTAACAGTGTAAACTTTTGCATTTATAATACTAGTCTAAACTACTTTTATAAAGAGGATACATTTGTATTTTTTTAAGTATTGAAATTCACTAAATACACTAATAATAAAAATAACACTATTATCAAAAACTATTGGGCCGATTTCTAAAATTCTTTCATCATTATAAAGCTACGTTTTCACTGAGTAATATAAATTTTTATTTTTTACAATTTCACGCGGACGAAGTCGCAAGCAAGTTAGTAAGTTATATTCACTAATGTTCATGAGTATTTATTTTTAAATTATGTTACTTAACATCATTCTTTTACTTCTATGATAGGTTTTTTTTTATTCTATTTAAACCTTTGTAACTTCGTTAAAACTGGAAGCTTGGAAACTGATTTCGTTAAAACTTTGAACCTATTTCTAATAATTACACAGTTTTGATTTTTTTTTTCATTTTTGATATATACCTAAACACATTGTACTTACGATTAACGTAACAAAATCCATTTTCCGCAAACAACAAAAATAAAAGGGTCACAACGAAACGACACATTTTCTTGACAACCACTTAATATCTGATAATGACACTCAAATGTATTGTATTTATATTATCTTTTTTAACTGGGTCTAGGATAAACTAAATATATCGATAATGTACAACACTAAAGTGGGTTGCAACCACTCGTGTCAAAGTGCGAGCTCAACTACATCGCTTACGATTTTCATAAGGATATTTAAGGTAACTATGATTTGTACCGAAATGACCCTCCTTCGTTCATTTGAAGGCCTGACCCCTATATGTCTTGCTAGTGATGAGCGACAGTGAGGACCGTTAGTCTTATCGATAAATTACAAAACCCAACACTACTGAATTTTATGTCATGTAATTATCGATATTATCTGAACAACAAATATATATAAGCTGTTTAGGATGTGATACATTAATTTAAAAAAAATTACAGTCATCTTAGAGTTAGTAGTGTAATTGGTAAAAAGTTCGTACCCGCAAGAAGCTTTCATACTCATACATTTGAAATTTTGTCACGCATTAGTTGAATATTTGAAATGTATAATTTTTTAAATTATACTTTTCTCGTAAATTTTCAATCATTCAATGTTAATTAATTACAAAATAAACATAATTAACTAAATTAAGACATAAAAATGTATGCATCATAAATATCGATAGTCGATGTTTGTGCTACATCACTAATTACATTTTTCATTGTCAGGTTCGCCGCGCAGCCTCGGTCGATAAGCGGCGATAGCAGTCGCGGAACTGGATATCATTTACACATAAATGCACGACTATTATCGAAATATTTCTATGCAATGTCAACCATGAGTTACTACCTGCTGTTTGTAGGGTGACCATGTTTTTAACACATATTTCTTGGAATAGATTATTAACTTCACGTATTTAAACTCTAGTTTAGTTTTATTATTATTATTAGTTTTAATAGTGCTTTAGTGACAATCGGCTTTTATATCTACATCAAGACTAACTACATTCTAAAGAGAAAGCCAGATTTTGTGCACCTATTTGTCATAGACTAAGAGAAGCACTACACAACTGATTCCAACATTTTAAGATCGACTTAAAGATGTGTTAAATGTCCGAAGACAGTTACTTTTGTAAGAAAAAAGAGGAATATTAGTGAGAAAAGGTATCGGAATAACTCAGACTGAACTCACTTAGGACTTAAGTCCGATTCTATTTTACATGCTAGCTTTTTTGTGTTTACCTCTACATCGTATTTAATACAGGCTAGACTATTCTGTATTTACACCTCTAAATGTAATTCGACTACAGACTTACTTGAAACCATCCACACCAATAAGTAGAAATTAGTGTCAACATCTTATCCTGGAATAGTATTCTAAAATCATGGTATCCCTACATCATTAAGCTAAACACCTCGTGTAATTTAGTCGGCCAAGTGCATAGCTAAGTGGAGCGAGCCTTTGTCCCACATTGAAGATTTAAAAACGAAAAAAATATTGACACATCATAAGGTCTACCAGTTTTATTCCCAAGGCAATACGATGTTTCGAACAATTCATAACTTTTGACACATACATAAACGGAAGTATGAATCTTTTACGATGCCCAATGTTTATTTTTTTAATGTATTTTGGGTGGTTGTTAATTATATTATTTCGTATGTTAATTGAAAATTTCGACATGATCATGTTGGCCTTCTGTATAGCGAATAGATTATTTAATGCGTGCACACCTCCGACTAAATTATCGCATAACTGTTTAGTTTTGCTTTCTTCAAGAATACACACTACTCGATTTTTAGTTGTGCAACTAAACAGTTGAATTGGCTGCGAAACAATCGACAATCGCACAACAATTGTGCGTTAATTTAGTTAAGGGTGCGCCCGCTCTTACAGTTTGTTTCTTTCCGTTCGTTTCAGAGTAGAGACATGAATTTGCCAAAATAAGGGTCCGCTAAAATAAACATCTAAAATTACAGATTCGTTGCGTACCTTTAATCCACGGAAGACTCAATTAGAAAATGCGACTTATAAGAAGTGGACATGAAGGAAAAAGGGTCGACAGTTAGGTCTCCATATACCACACTAAGGGAGTATATTATAACTAGCTGTTCGTTATCGTCGTATCGTGTTCGTTTCGTTCGTTCGCTGCGGTTTCATCCACATGAAATTATAACAACTTTGTTTTATTGTTTACATTTGCAAATTCTCAATTGCAAATGTCAAAATAACCTTGCTTCCTTAATATTGGCAGCTTTTAGTATTTCTTCCCTTTCCCACAGGATTGTTTTATTTAATTTATTTAACCCCTCGGTTTGATAGCTTGAAAATGTATACCCTGAAGTCTGTCGTAAGTAGGGCTTTTTATTAAAGAAAGAATTGTTCAAAAATAAGCCATGATTGCTGACATACTACGCCACGAAGTAGTGTGTGTTTACGCTTTGTAATATTAGTATAGATTGATATAGTTATTTAAGGCATAACATATATTTACATAATAGTTGTAGCCTTCGACTATGTTAATATTACGGACATATGATCGGGACTACAGAAAACGTAAATGGAACTGCTGAAAATATACTGAAAAGTCGAGTTGTAAAATTCATATGCTTTGAAGTAACTATCAGCTTTGTCAAACTCTAGTTTGTTAAATAGGTCTAAAATTTACTATATGCATATCTTTAGAAAGTAATAAAGGTACATAATATTTGATTCAATGAAATACATTTTGGGCAAGTGACATGTGAAAATTACTTTACCTTCGTTACTTCAGAAAATGTTGCAATGACAGAAATGGGTCAAAGGTATATTTTTGTCAAGGTTCACACCTGACGTGTTTATATTTTTAATATTTCATAAACAAAAGCAAGAAATACGAAACAATTGCTTTAAAACAGGCAATTTAAGAAATACTTATCGTGTATTACATTCTTTAAGATGACACGTGATCCGACATTGAAAATCAAATATTTTTGCGCCTTCAAATTTCCAGACAAAATCACAAACAATCCAAGATCATGTAAAAAGACACATTCCAGTCATATATTGTTTGTAATAAGTCATAGATACTTTTTGAAACCTCTGCCGCGCCCATTTATGAAAAATTCGATACTCGACCTTCCGATAAGCGAAAACAAATACGGAAACAGCAAAGCGGAAAAGTTTACACCGTTTATGGTGGCGATAACTCCTAAACAGAGGTCAGGTGAAGGTCGAAGTCTGCTTAGCAGTCTGCGACGACCCGCACACAATTAACCATACAAAAATGTTCATCCCACGCATTATAGTTGGCATTGTCAGACATCTGTACGCAAAATTAGTCCGTATCACATTAGTAGAAAGACTAAAATACAATCTAATGTCGTTTATTTTAATTTCAACTATTGTATAATTTATTTCTAAATATAAAATAATATAGGAAGTCGTTATTAATCCCCTATTTGGATTTAAGATTGTATAAATTATGTAACAAATAAAGGAGTTCTTGAACTTTGTTAGGCACTTTTAAGGTAAAAAATTAAAATTTTAAAACTTGCAAAAATTAGTATACGAGTCACCTAATTTATTTATTTATTTATTTATGTTTATAATTAATAGCAATTAGGAAAAGGTCAAAGTTGCGGGAGTATCCTGGATGCGGGAGGCACAGGACCGATCATCGTGGCGATCGTTGGGGGAGGCCTATGCCCAGCAGTGGGCGTCATATGGCTGAATAGATAGATAGGAAAAGAAGCTTAAAATCATTGTTATCCTATGATCCTCGTAATTCACTAGTATTTATTATGTATATTCTGTCTCTATCTATATAACTCTGCGGAAAAACTAATATGCACACACTTTAAAGGCTTCGTCAGCACTTTTGATGGCTTTACTGATTTAGGGTCTGTTCCACCACTGGCTGATAGAGGTTCAGCTAACTTTAAAATGATGTCTCTGTGAGGTAACAAAATCCTATATTTCTTTCATATATTTTACACGTTGGATTGTTATCAGACAATTTACAATTTGGTGGGACAGGCCCTAAATGTTGTAAAAATGTCAACATGTATGTCTGTGGTAGGTTATTTATGATATAAGATGCCATACGAGCAAGTGGCCACCTGGATTCGCCGAAATAGCGAATGCTGACCTGGGAAATATTTAATTCCAGACGCGTTTATAGGCGCAGTCTCTTTTAATCCAGTGTGTTCCTTGGAGATCCCGGAACTTTCGTGTATGTCACTAGAGAATGGCCCCCGAGGGGTTTTAACAGGTCAAATCCTACATAACCCTGCCTTCCCCCCAGACGGCAAAGTATCTTTTAAAGATTTTCTTCCCCAGATGCAAAAAAAAAAAAGTGCAGTCTCTTTTTAATCTTCGGAAAATCAATAAAGTATTGGTATTTACAAATTATATAACATTAATTCGAAAACAGGGGTCGCCAAGGCGTTCCGCAATGCGCATACAAAGGAGCGAATGTGTTACATTGTCACGGCTAAGGGCGGACAATTGGGACAATGTCACATGCATCGTGATATGGACGTAAACGCATCATTCAGCATTAGTGGGCTGAGGTGCAAGGAATTATTAAAATAAAATTCCGCTTGTTTACAGTACGATAAGTTTTAGTGAGTAATCTTACTAATGTTATAAATGCGAAAGTTTGTTAGAGTTTGTAACCCAAACTGCTAAACGGAAATCGACATTTGGCATTTATATAGTCTGGAAAAACACATGGGCTACTTACTTTTGTTTTATTGTTAACTAGCTTTGGCCTGCGACTCCGTTCGCGTGGAAGTAGAAAAAACAAAAGTGGGTAGCCTATGTGTTGTTCCAGGCTATCCTTTACGTTTATGCCTAATTTCATCGAGATCCGTTCAGCCGTTTAGGCTACAAACTCTAACAAACATCTATCCATTCATCCATCTAAACATTCACGTTTATAATATAGTATATATATATAATATTAGTAAGAAGTAAGATTCCACGCAGACGAAGTAATGAACGAGAGCTAGTAGATCGTAATTTCAACAAGAAATTTTAGAAAATTATGATCCAAATTCTTTATACTTTGTTTAGCCTTTCCTATAAAATTCTAGGTCGTTAACAGAATTACGGATTA